GCGATGGACCAAGAGTGGAGCACTACACGACAAACATAGTCACGCACCTGGCAAACACCCACGAGCATCACGATGATAGCCAAGGACCTGATGCACACGTAGGTCTTGATGATGTTGGCGAGTTGAGGGTTGTTCTCGTATCCGTGGTAAGTGAATCTCAAAGGGTCAAAACCCATCTATCGACAAAGAAAAAGCAATCAGGCCACGATCCAGCATGTTACAGTTGGCCAGCGTTGGTACTCGCAAAGAGAGTTCGAACCAGTGTCATGATGCCCTGCATCCCGAAGATAACCTCCAGAACCTCCTCCGGCTTTGAACGCAGCGAACGCAGCCACGCGAACGCCATCCTGAAGCAGTCCACGGCGGTAAAAGGAACCTGAGGAAACAGGGCAACGGAACGATATCAGTGCGCCGAAGGGGGGGGGGGGCAGGACTTACGCGAAGGGAGTCGCAGACCGCCAAACCGATTAGCCCCGCCCTCCCAGCCGTGGTATAAGGTCCGGCGGTGCACCGAAGGTTGCCTACTTACAGTTTTTTTTTTTTGCACAAATTGCCTACCTTTCAGGCGGCTCACTAGGCTCCAACTCCCCAAAACTCCCTTTACTCCCCTAATCGCTACCGCCATGATCCCCCGGGCTGGCTGACCCCGTGCCATAGACTGTACCGCCCGCAGCCGCGCGGGCGGGTTGCCTGTTGCCTGCTCGCTCGGCTCGCTGGGCCGCGCGGCGCCCCGCGACGGTTAGCGAACCCGACCTGTCCGTGTCCGCGGCCCGGGGACCCCGCCGAGTCCGTACCCGGGGACCGTGCCTGGGGCCGTGCCCGCTTTCCCGTCTGGGGCCGGGTGCCAGCAGGACATCGCCAACATCTGGCCGAGGCGGGGGCCTCGGACACCAGCGGGATACGGGAGCGAGGGGCGTCCAGCGAGGCGCCCTGGGACGTCGTCGCCGAGGACGCGGCGCAGCTCGCCGTCAGCCCCGCCGCCTCCTCCACGACAAGGAAGTCCACAGGCGCCGGTAGCGGGCTCGGGCAGGGCCCGCAATAAAGGCCCCCGCCCCGCTGCAGCATCAGCCGGGTTAAGTCGCGGTTGCATTACGTTGCTGTACTGCCCCCCCCCCCCTCTCGCTTTCTTGCTCCCTGAATTCATCTGCGTTTCAGCGTTACTGCAATGCTTTATTACACCCCCCCCCGAAACACAGCCCAATATAACGGCTGAAACCTGTTCGCGCCGTA